AGCTCTCCTCGAAGGTCCCGTTCCCCTGATCAAAAACGCCCAGACACGGTTGTGCATACCATCAAGTTTTGTCGGCTAGCATCGCGGAACGCAGGACAGAACCAAGGGCGCAGCCCGGCGCGCCCCGATCGTAGCGAACAAAAAAGGAAGCATCACGAGCAATCTGGGAAGCGCGGGCGGCGGCGTCGGCGGCGCGCCAGGGGCGGCGGAACCAGGCGAAGGCCACGGGCTCGTCTGTCGCGGCGTCGACGGCCACGCGGAGGATCTGCTGCTCGGGGCCCCAGAAGCGGGCTTCGAAGAAGCGCCGGTAGTAGAGGTGCGGGTGCGAGGGGTACTGGGCGGCGTGGGGGTGGGTTCTCGCGATGAGGGGCTCTGAGGCGAAGGCTGCGAGGAAGATGGTCGTGATGGCGGCCAGGTCGGCGGCTGTGCCGTCGCGGATGAGGAGGGGCATGGTACGGGGGTGCGGCGCCTCCTTGTGCTTAACGGCTTGTGCCTGACGGCTTGTGCCTGACGGGTTAAAGCCTGGGGGTTGGTGGGTGGGCGGGTTTCTTGGTGCCTCGTACGAATTCCAGGGCTCGCGATGATGCCCTGACGGGTTCATCTCTGGTGGCATGGCCGACGACAATGGGAGACAACAGGGAGGGGTTTGTGTTGACGTTGATGGACCAGACGATCCGCTTCCCGGCAATGAGTCAACAGCGGCCGGGCCGGCATGTCTGGGCACCGAGGCTGCATGAACCCCGCGGTCGAGGGCGGCACATGACGCCAGTCGCGTCAGGGTGGTCTGGGGTTGGATCGGGCTGCTCGAAGAGGAAGGTGGATGGGTCCGCATCCGATCTTGCGTCCGGCGTCTGTTGGAGTCTTTAGATCGGTCATTCGAATGACACCGGATGCAACACGGCTGGAGGCCAGAGCACTCACTCTCATGGTCCAGGTGTGGGAGGGTAATACGGTTGCGTTCCTGCCAAGGAGCAATGACCACGGGTCTTTGGAAGGATCAGTCTGATGGTGATGATTGCGTTGGAAGTCAGATTACGTTGAGGGGTGCTAGGCGCTGCAAGGTAACGCACCTCAGTTGGCAACACCAAGGATGGCACGAACGGTCATGAACAGGGAGCCCAGTTCGAGAGTCTAGCTACTGGCATAAATCTGAACTGCGTCGTAAGCAAGAAACGGGAAGCTGAAAACAAGGACAAGATGCATCCAGAAGGCGTACAGTCGATAATGAGAATCCAATGCATGCCTCGTCTGCGACATCCAAAAGAGGTCCTCCATATATAAGTACAACCCCAGACTGCCATGCGTAACAGACGCAGAAACAAAAGAATCATCGTCAATGAATGGAAATGCAAAAAGTGATTCAGGGGAGGCTCGAACTCCCGACCTTCAGTGTGTTAGACTGACGTGATAAACCAACTACACCACCGAACCGAGTTGCAAAACAATCCAACATTGCAGTATCATAATTTCGATCTCCCCACCCGGAGTCTGCAGGGCCCACGACGGTCTCGAACCCAGGGTGTGGCCAGGGGCCTACCATCGATCGTCGTCGATTCCCAGCCGTCGCAAAATCCTGCTTTCGACCCCAGGCCCAGGCCCCCCTCGCCGTCGTCCTCCCGCCGCGGTCCAAGTCGGGAACCGCAACGTGGCGCCAGTCGAGATTGCCCAGCGCCCGCGACGTTTCCATTTCCAAGGAAGGGGGCCAGCCATCGTGCAGGCTTTTGGGCCCTCTCCGGGCATGGCAAAGCAGGTTGCTGGGCTCGGGAAGGAATGTACTGGGTTTCGTTCTGCCAAGGACGAAGCACCCCCAGAATCGTCACATGTCAATTGATCGCCAGGGGCGTGTGTGGGGGAAAACATGCTGCGCAGCTGGCCTTTTTCAGTGTCTGATCGAGCAGAGACACGCAGACGCAGGCTGTTTGTGAGACAGGTCTGGCACGACGATCAATTGCGATGGGAGAAGGTGAACATGGTTTCATGCATGTTTTCATGGGTCATCTGTTTGCCACGAGTGTTTGGAGGCAATTGTTGAATTGGTCCCCAGCCATGAGAACGGCGCGCGGCAGAGCCATCTGGGGGCCGCTCGCTTCGCTTTCCCAACGCTGCCATGCCGCCCTGTCGTGTGGCAGTGGTGATACAAGCGCAATCCTGTTGCAGGAGGATATCTAACAAAAGAGAATGAAAACAAAGAAGATGCACGAAGAAATCACAACGCTAGACTCATTCCCCCAGACGCCTGACAGACCACCGTCGCTCGTCGTTTCCGTCGCCTGCTCATCCGCCCATTGCTCCTCATCAACCGTGTCACATTTGCGCTCATGTCTGGTTGCCGACCGCCATGTCCAGTTGTCTACCGCCATGTCCAGTTGTCTACCGCCATGTCTAGTTGTCTACGACTATAATGATCATCATCCCGTTGAGGGTGCATGCCTCCATGAAGCTCGTCATCTCGGTTGCTCTGTATGCCTCGCTCAGTTTGTCTCGGCGTTAGAGCATCTTGCCGATGCTGAGGCAGGCACAGAAGAGGCTCGTCACCGAATCAACCGTTACGCCTGCGTCTATCTCTATACGAATCTATATATATCTATGTATATATATGTATATGTATATATATATATATATATATATATTTATATATTATATATATATATATATATATATATATATATATATATATATATATATATATATATATATATATATATGTATATATATATATATATATATATATATATAGATATATATATATATATATATATATATATATATATGATATATAGAT